TTTGAAAGAAAGTTCTAAAAGAAGTTCTGTCAGTTTCTCAAATGACTGGGTTAATGAGTTGGCTTACTTGAACGATGAATAGGATTTGTAATTTTTACATTCGTTTACACAAAGGTGTTTAATAAGAAGTGTACAAGTTCAATGTTAAATATTTTCTCCTATTCCATCATGATGTGCAGAGACAAATAAGTAATTAACTGGTTTTTAGGCTAAATTTACTGAAATTGCAGAGTAAACTGTTACCAGAATTTGACACAATTTAGCAATTTAACAGTAATTTCTTAAAGTGAAATAATCTGAAGCACCACAGGGTCACAATGTTTACCATAATTTATAGAGAGAAATTGCATCAAATAGTTTTTTTTTTTTTTTTTGGTTGTGTGTGTAAAATGTAAAAAAGGTTTTCTGAACATTTCAAGTTATATTGGTTGATTGAAACCGTTGTTGATTTTTGTATGCCATGTTTTGGGATGTGTGCATGTCTGGACGTCAACATTTCATTAAAAAAATTCACTTGAATTAACAGACATGTCAGCATTGTACTCTAACACTTCACTCCCACTATTGTGTAAAATATTGTATTGTTTCTGTAATATAATGTAGTTTTGACACTTGGAGTGCAGATTGGAAGTGTTTTAAATATTTCACAGTGTTAAACATTAAAAAAGTGACCACTTTCACCTGATCTACGTAACGTTTAAATATTTAAACCTTTAAATACTTGCAAGGTTGATTCACTTAATTGTTTTGGTCAGACTTCAGTTTAGGGACCAATTCTTACTATTAACTACGACTGCTGCCTCAATAAACTCCTAATTTGCTGCTTATTAAAGGGATAGTTCACCCCCCAAAAATTCTGTTGTTAATTACTCACCCTCATGTCGTTCCAAACCTGTAAGACCTTCGTTCATCTTCGGAACACAAATTAAAATATTTATGATGAAATCTGAAAGTTTTTTGACCCTGCATAAACAGCAATGGAACTACCACATTCAAGGCCCAGAATTAAAATAGTCCATATGACATCAGTGGTTCAAAAGAAATTGTGGAATAAATTTGTTATTTTTGTTTTCTTTGCACATAAAAAGTATTCTTGTAGCTTCATAAAATAACGATTGAACCATTGATGTCACATTGACTATTTTAACAATGTCCTTACTACCTTTCTGTGCCTTGAACGTGGTTGTTCTGTTGCTGTCTATGGAGGATCAGAAAGCTCTCGGAATTCATCAAAAATATCTTAATTTGTGTTCCAAAGATGAACGAAGGTCTTACGGATTTGGAACGACACGAGGGTGAGTAATTAATGACAGAATTATTGTTTTTGGGTGAACTTTCCCTTTAATAATTTGTAAGGTATATGTTAAGTTTAGGTACGGGGTAGGATTAAGGGATATAGAATATGGTCATGCAGAATAAGGCATTAATATGTGCTTTATAAGTACTAATAAACAGCCAATATACTTGTAATGGGGCTGACGAGACGTGAGACGTGTGGATCCATCTGCAAGCTTTATTTAAAGAGACGTGGTATAACAGGCAGGGTCGAACAATGGCAAACAGGTATATGGCGGGGGAAAACACAAGAATAGTCCTAGGGCTAACGTAGGTCACCGATCAGCAGACAGAATCACAGGGGCGAGACGAGAGGGAGAAATCCAGGAAAACAGGCAAAGATGAGAAACCGCAAAAACAAGCAAGGCAAAACAAGGAAAACACGGAGACTCGGAAAGGGGTACAGGCTAAACAATACTCAGCAGAGAAAGGTGGTTAGAGTGGGTGTTATAAAGTGAGTGAGGTGATTAGAAACAGCTGTGTGCAATGAGTGCAATCAGTGCAGTGTGCAAATCGTGCAAAGAATGATGGGATATGTAGTCCGGGGTGCTATGCAACAGTTTGTGTTGTGTGAGAGTCAATGTAATGGAAAGGGTGACCTCTGGTGGTGAATAAACGGAAGTCCATGGACCGAATTCGTGACAATACTAGTACTATGCATGTTAAGCAACTAGTTAATAGTGAGAATTGTCCTTAAAATAAATTACCATAAGTTACCATTGTTTTCGTTTAACACCATTTCATTTTAATGTTACCACATTTTGTGGTACCATATACCACTTTTTAAAGGTATTTGAAGGCTTTTTTTTTTTTTTTTTACATTATACCCTTACCAGTGTGCTAAGTTTGATTCGACTTCACAGCTTTACCATTAGCCCTCTATTAGATAAGCTTGTTGCAATTTGAGATACGTCCCAATGTTCAGTCATTTCCCCTGTAGTCATCCGTTCCTTCGCTCATCCAAGAGTGAACTCAGGGTACAGCTGTTAATGGGGTTTCATGAGCCATATGATGTCTTCTAGCAGTGGTTGTCACTGTGAATCTCCCAGCGAAGGGATTTTAAACAGTAAGATTTGCCCACGCCTTCATGAGTTATGGGCTGTCGCCCCACTGTTCAGGGCGTAGAGTGTGTGCAATTTGATATTACGATTTCTCTTGTCTTGTCACTGATATACAGTGGGTACGGAAAGTATTCAGACCCCCTTAAATTTTTCACTCTTTGTTATATTGCAGCCATTTGCTAAAATCATTTAAGTTAATTTTTTTCCTCATTAATGTACACACAGCCCCCCTTATTGACAGAAAAACACAGAATTGTTGACATTTTTGCAGATTTATTAAAAAAGAAAAACTGAAGTTATTTAGAATTGTAATAATATTTCACAATATTAACTTTTACTGTGTTTTTGATCAAATAAATATCGCCTTGGTGAGCATAAAGGTCTTCTTTAAAAGCATTAACCATGTGAATTATTCCAAATTTTCACTGTTTTGGGGATTTATTTTTTATTAGTTATTTATGTTGTATTTTTAAACAATGTAAAAGTCTCAGTTTACATACAAATTTACATTAACCATGTAAGACTTTGATAAAAGAACAGTTTAAGATGTTTATATGACCTTACACATTGTCAAGTTATTGAGCGTATCAGCATGTACTTGTAAACACTCTGTGTCTGTCTTTCTCATTAAGAGTCCAAGAATGTCCCGCTCATTAAGACAAAAGGCTTTGAGCTGATGATGTAGTGCTTTTGTCTCTAGCACCTGTGCTCTGTTTATAATGGGATTCCTCCTATCAACAGCTTACAGATATTATGAATTCATTATTTCTGCAAATCCATCATTGGTATGTTAGCGCTGGTCTAAAATGATTCAGCGAAGCAAATCCATGATAATGTCAAGAGGAATTAATTTTTTTACAGACGGAACAGAATGGGTTTAGTTCTAAAGACGTGACAGATCAAGTTTAGAAAGCAATATGCTCTAATGCCCAGCCAGCATGTTGCAGACCGGATATGCTTTGAATTTGTGCGATCAGCCAGATGTGCTATATATTAAGGTGAGGTTAAATTGAAACATGGCTGTGTATTCCCTAGATGGCAAGGCACGGCTGACAGTTGCTGTAGGAGACGAGATGATTGATTACACCACCCGCTCAACATATGGCGATATGTGAGATTTTAGCTCACAGGGTAACCACGGGTAAAAAAGCGATGGCTCATATGTTAAAGAGAGTTGGGATGATGAATGAAAAATGCCACAATGGATTTCATTCACACAAATCTGCTGAGCTACTCTGTGTCTTCTATTGATAATATTATGGTAATTCTCTACGGTAAGAATTTTTCTTGGAAACACTGTTATCTTTTGACATAACAAATTTCATTTTCGTACTTTAAGATAATCCACCAATATTAGCAAGTGGGATTTATTCTCAATGTGTAGAAATGTATTGGAAATCCTGTATTATTATTTTAGTTTCAAGTCAGTGCTTTCATTTTCAGGACTCATTTTAGAACTGACAGAAAAACTGTTTGTTTTTTGTGCCTCATTTCATTCTGTGTAATCCAAATACTGTGATTTCCGAGCAACAGCAGATCAGGGTGCACTTTGCAGCGATGCAGTCATGCGCTCATGAAGTGCAGAGAATGTACCCAATTGAGCAAGGTTAGGATTAGCAAACACTATTTCAAAAATCATTTCATACTGGGATTGTCAGTGTATTAAGGGATTCAGTCACATTTACTCTGCATCAGCTGTCAACACAGCACAAAGCAGAATCCGTTAGTTTCATAAATTTACATTTATTTGTAAAGACCCAGTGTAATCATAATTAAAGTTTGCTCATTTTTAGTCCGTGTGTGTTAGCTTTGAGATTATCTGTATGCTAACACACTCTTAAAAATACAGAGAAAGTAAAGCAATGAAGTAATATAAAATTGACAATCTTTCTCTTCCAGGAAAACGGGTCAAAAATATTGATGAACGAGGGACAATCTCTTCTACACTGTTAAAAATATGTTTTTAAGTACAAATAAAACAAAGCTTGATGGAGTACATTTTACAAGAAAATACTATTTCAGTCTTTCTTAAATATGTCATGCTTAATTCTGTCACTTGCTATTTCTTTGTAATTAATTGTGAAATTTTCTAGCAATGCTTTTGTGAAAATGGTTTCTACATTATTTGTGACCATGAACATAAAGGTCATTTAAAAAAAAAATTGAGATACATCATCTGAAAGCTGAATGAATAAGGACATTAGGACAATATTTAGCTGATATACAACTATTTGAAAATCTGGAATCTGAGGGTGCAAAAAAAATCACAAAAAAATTCAGTTATTGAGAAAATTGCCTTTAAAGTTGAACAAATTAATTTTTGATATATTTACGGTAGGAAATGTACTAAATATCTTCATGGAACATGATCTTGACTTAATATCCTAATGATTTTTAGCATAAAAGAAAATTTGATAATTTTGACCCATACAATGTATTTTTGGCTATTGCTACAAATATTCCCGTGCTACTTATGACTGGTTTTGTGGTCCAGGGTCACATTTCACATTTCAACAACCCATGAATTTGTTGAACAATATCATTCGTTCATTTCATTTTTTTCTCTCATTTCATTGACTGTTTCTCACCTTCTGTGTATTTTAGGTATGGTAAACTACAGTGAGGTTACTGGTTATCCACTGGTTCAGCACTGGAAGCTGCGGTCCATCATGTACCATGTGAAGCTCAATCAGTGGACCCTCTCCCAAGGTAAAACACCCTCACTCTTCCATTTACATGTATGACCAAGTGTACAATGCATTCAGTTAATTAGGAAGATGTTTCAGGCCAGCTGTACCTTTTTTTTTGGTCTGACAGACTGGAGTGATCTCACTGAGGAGCCCTCACTGTGACAGATCAGTTGTGCTGGGTGGGTAGTGAAGCAAAAATGGCGGTTCTCAGTGCACTGTTGATCCCAGATGGCGTGTGTTTAAAACTGGAGAATTTAAAGATGAAGTTTATACCTTTTTGTACTATCCCAGCTTAATATTCAGAGACAACTATAAGTAAGCCATCTGTCAATCTGTTTGGCCGACCAATGGCAGTGGAATATTTAGGGAACCTTTTTTTTCAATTCTGCGATGGTAGTGGTGCAGAAATGACACACTTCAGCTTCAAGCAAGACAAAAGACAGAATTCGAAGAGGCAGAGTATTATTATAATTATTTTTTGGCCATGTATTTGGACTGTGAGTGACTTCACTTCATTTGTTTAATGAACACTGTATGTTCAATGAGCAGATGTTAGATTCCAAGTGCAGTTCTATAAGAAATACTCCCTGTCAATGAATGGCCTGTATGGCCTTTAAAATTTGATTTCATTGCTCTCATCTTGCTTTCACCAGTTCTCTCTCTTCTCGTCCCAATACCATTAAAGGATTCCTTTTTCATATGACTGAGAAGTTGAGTTTTTACATTTTCCATTCTGATTTTTACCACTTTTTCCCCTGATGTTTTTGCATCTTCTAACATGAGGTCAATTTGCAAACCTGGGCATGAAGTTCATGAGAGGAAGTGGAATAATACAAAATGTATTATTATTGCAAAATGTTATTATTTTATTTATTTAGTTTGTGCAAGATATGAAAACATCGGGCCTCATTCATGAAACATTCGTAAATATAGGAGTAAATTCTAAGTAATTTGTGCATAAAACGGATCTTCCCGAAAACTCTCCTCCGAATTCACAAACACTTCATACACATCAGATTTGATAGTTAAACATGTGTATGCTAATGAATTCCAATCATTCGTAAGTAGGGCGCTCGTGCACGCTCATTCACAATTAGCATAATCCCCGCCTATGAATTACAGCTAGCAAATTGCTTGTCCAGGAACGCAGTGAAATATTCTGGTCTACTTTCTCAGGTTTGGCTCCAGTATATTGCATAAATGCAAAAAAGACTAATAGGCCATATGCCTAACAAAAAATATTCAATAACGTGTGTCCACCAGAGCGTTTTTAGTCAGCTGAAAAAAATGTCAGACGCTCTTCTTAAAACGGCCAGCTGGTGGCGCTGGAGAATGCTTTGGTGGCACAGCGTTTTTCTAGCTGAGACGCTTTTGGTTGCTTTGATTTGAAATATCCACGGCAGATACTAGTATCTCATTTTGAAGAATATTACTCAATATAAAAATGCAGTAACCAGCAATATTAACTTCTCTATTGTTCCATGGTAGAAGTGGTATGATTGGTCGGTGTAGTATTTGTCCCGCCCCTCCTCTATTGATTGGACGGCTGGGTAAAAAGTGACAGTGACAAGCGCTGTGTTTTACCCAAAGCTAAACAGTTTATCAACTCAACTACAAAAAAAAAAATTCTGGCCCAGCGACCTTGTAAAATAGTATAATGGCAGTGCATCTAATTCAGTGTCATCAGTTTGCCTAAATGAACAGAACGTTTTACACGTGGTAGGTTTCATGAATGAGGCCCATTGTGTTGAAATATGGGACTGTGAATTCTGTGAATACCCACATGAAACATTTTTATTAAATGAACAACGGTTTGTTAACATGCAAACCAGTTGAGTTTTACTGTCTGATAAAAGTTTCAGAGGTCTTCAGTACTTTTGCAAAATACATGCAAACAAGTGCTTTATATTCTAAAGTACTGCAGGGAAATGTAAATTATGTGACTAAAAGCTTACATTAAATTTTTTGATGGATATTCTGTGTTGAAAAAAAAACAATAACAATACACTGTATATGTACAAGGTCAGTTAGGACGGAACTTATTTGGAAAGACAACACAAGTGTGACGCTAACAGACGAAGAATCACTGGAGATCGGCTAGACGGTCTATAGAGTGACTCAGCCAAGGATGGTTCGGTTTCTATGCTTATGGCTAGTTTATCGACAATGCTTTGGGCATTCATGAAATAGCAGCGCTGTGAACATGAAAAAGTGCATTGTGATCCACACAGACATTTCTTCTGGAAATAGGCACCAAGGTCATCCAACAAGGCATAGAGGCCTCAGTCTGTACTCTTCTATTTTCAATGAAAACTTAAGGTGAAAGAGATGAGAACAAGGCGAATGAGAGCAAAATGAAAGCTGTGGGTGCTCTGCAGTTTGATAATCTAGCACTCATTTGTGTGTCATTTGTGCAAGTGTCTTTTGTTGGGGTTAGAAAATCTATATCTGAGGTGCCTGTGAGTACTCCATGTCCTGCTAAAAGCATTTCGTGTTAAAAGCCAAGTGACAGCAGTAATGATCTTTCTTGAAAAGACCAACATACAGTGGGTACGGAAAGTATTCAGACCCCCTTAAATTTTTCACTCTTTGTTATATTGCAGCCATTTGCTAAAATCATTTAAGTTAATTTTTTTTCATCATTAATGTACACACAGCACCCCATATTGACAGAAAAACACAGAATTGTTGACATTTTTGCAGATTTATTAAAAAAGAAAAACTGAAATATCACATGTTCCTAAGAATTCAGACCCTTTGCTCAGTATTTAGTAGAAGCACCCTTTTGATCTAATACAGCCATGAGTCTTTTTGGGAAAGATCCAACAAGTTTTTCACACCTGGATTTGGGGATCCTCTGCCATTCCTCCTTGCAGATCCTCTCCAGTTCTGTCACACTCAGAAGAAGAGGTTTTTAAATAGATTATTCCAAGAACAAATTATGTGAGATGTGCAATACACATTCAATAAATAGTTTGTTTGATTGTTTGTTTATTTTAGGGCCGTCAAAAAGAACGTGTTTTAAGATTAATATTTTTTGTTTAATGCATTGAAAGTAAGTTATGCAATTAACACAGCAACTGTATTTTCCCTTGCTGAAGGGATTTTTTATAATGGTTTATGTGAATAAGTTCATGTAAATTAAAAAATAAATGACACAGCGGATGATAAGAGCTCCTATTCTCCTTTTTTTATTTAAGCTCCATTAGATGAGGCATGTTTGGAACATTCTCTTGCCGTTTACTGTTGCTGTCAGGAACTATTTTTTAGCGGAAGGACAGCATTTAACAAACTTGCTACAAAAAAGTATCATTTCAATACATACGTTTTTGGTTTTAATATTTTTTATTGTGTGGTAACCGTTTTTTAAAAGCAATAAGGTACTCGAGGCTGTGCTGTATCGTGAATAAATCACGGCTGAAGGTGTTGCAGTCACTCCGCTTCGCACCGTGCCTAACAATGCCCTTCAGCCGTGATTTAGGCTTTTTTATGTTCTGTAACACTGTAACGCTATTAAATGTTTAAAATGATGGCACAAATGTTATTGTAATGTTGAATGAATAGACTTCTTTATTTTATTCTCAGAAATTTATTTGAAAAAATAAAATCCATTTAACAGAAGCCTTAATATTGGTATTTGTGATACTTAGTACATAGTATATAAGATACCATAAATAAATAAAAAAGTATTTAAAATATACCATCATTATGTAATTTTTACATTTAATTTGGAGATTCAGTGTATGGAAGCCCATTTCCGCCACTGAATAAAAAATAATAAAGGTAATTGCGACTTTTTATCTCACAATTCTGATTTTTTTTCCTCACAATTGCGAGTTTACATCTCGCAATTCTGACTTTTTCTCAATTCATTTAGCTAGCAGTTTATGCAAAGCAACTTTGGACAGTACACTTATTATTACACTGGAGCAAGCTGAGGTTAATTGCCTTGCTTAAAGCCACAATGGTGATTGTTCAGGGATTACCCATTTTGGGATTTGTTCCTACAGGAGAAAAAAAAGCACACTTTTATGATATTCACATTTATTCTGCAACATTTTGATCTTCATGAGATACACATTAACATCCAAACATTCTATTAAATACCTTTAACCACTAATTAGGCAGTCATAAAAAAGACAGGCAATTAGCTGCACTTCATGTTTACAAGTGTTAAACTGGCAATAAAGACCAAATACTGTGCATGTTCAACCCATCCATCATAAGAAACTAGAAGAAGTTTTTCAACGTTACACACTGGAAGCCAGCAAAATTTTCCGTAGACGTGTCACAATTAAAGCCTTTTTTGTGTTTTGGTCAGATAGCATCCTGATACAAGTAAGTAAGTAACGATGATTGATGTACTTTATATAATATAATATAATATAATATAATATAATATAATATAATTCCTAAATTGAAAATAATTTGACCCTTATCACTGGCACATCTTCAACTCAATATCTCTTCCTCATAATATCTTCAGTGAATTCTTTTCAAACACCCTCTTAATGTTCATGACCTTGTTGTAAGAGCCGATTTATCTTTAGAACAAATCTACTCACTTTCTGCCATCTATCCCATCCGGTAATTATAGGTGCGGTCAATGCTCTCAGTGTAACTTAACCTCAAAATATAATTCATTCTGCCATCCACACTCAGGTAAAGTGTTTAAGATCAAAGATATCCCCGCGCTATCTCATCTGTATGATAAAAAGTCCTTGTGAACACAAAGTAGATCACAGTTTATTTTGAGGTTCAATTCTCGTTATTAACAAACCATTAACTATGACTTTTGCCTCAATAAACTAGTAATTTGCTACTTATTAATGGTTAGTAAGGTAGTTGTTAAATGTAGGTATTGGGTAGGATTAGGGATGTAGAATATGGCCATGCAGTATATGTGCTTTATACATGCTAATAAACAACCAATATGTCAATAAAATGCATGCTAATAAGCAACTAGTTAATAGTGAGAAATGTTCCTTATACTAAAGTGTTACCCAAAGCACTTTAAAAACACAAATCACAGAACTTTGAGGCAGTATATACAAAAGTGACAGGAAGCCTCTGTATATACACACAGTCCCTTAAAAGGGACGGTTCGTCCAAAAATAAAAGTTGTCATTATTCATTCACCTTCCCATGTGTTCCCAACCAGT